GTGGATATTTCACACTGGACCTCAAGCAGTATGGGTTCTGTTCTTCACCCTTCTTCCTCCAAACCCTTGAACCTTGATTTCCAAATGAAAGGCACATTTTACTTTCATCAAAAGAGGACCGAGGAACCCAACAGTTGTAGTCCATATCTCCTGGATGTGTCTGAATGTGGTGGTTTTTGAAGCTGTGACTCCCGCCTCATTCCACTCTTTCTGGATCTCTGACAGATTCTGGAATCTTCTCTGTTTGATAATCTGCTGAAGCCCACGGTCATCTCTTTTGCTGGTGCACCTTCTCCTACCACACTTTGCCCTTCCACTAGACTTTCCATTGATATGCTTGGACACAGCACTCTGTGAGCAGCCAGCCTCCTTAGCTATGAACTTTTGTGGCTTACCCATCCTATGGAGGGTATCAATGATGCTCTTCTGGCCAGTCGTTATGTCTGCAGTCTTCCCCATATTGAACCAAACTGACACAATTGAACCAAACTGAAGCAATTTAATGACACCTGGGGAAACCTGTGCAGGTGTTTTGAGTTTAGTAGATGATTAGTGTGTCACACTCAGTTTAAAACATTCATGCCCTGCAACATTTGGGCTAATTTCTCCACTGTATTCAATTTTTTGAATTCCTGTTTTTGTGGGTTTCATAAGCTGGAAACCAAAATTATGTAAAAAATAAACAAATAAATACTTGAAATTGTTTAAATTGTGGACCCTGAATCTATCATCTATTAAAGATTAACTTTTTGAATTAAATTATGGAAGTTAAAACAACTTTTCCATGATATTCTATTTTTTGGAAAGGATCTGTATATATATACATACTCGATGACTGAAGCAGATTCCAGTCCCTCGGTTTGCTGCATGAAGAAGTTGCTTTACTGTTGCATCAACACAGTGGAGATAAACCACAGTAACAGATGTCTAACTGTCAGTCCCTACGCACACATACACACACACACACACACACACACACACACACACACACACACACACA